AGAGGGAGAAGCAGGCTTCCCGCCGAGCAGGGAGCACGATGTGGGACTCGATCCCAGGACCCTGGGATCATGACCTAAGCCGAAGGCAGACGCGTAACGACTGAGCCTCCCAGGCGCCCCGCCGTTATTGTTTTATCTGTACTTATCACCGTTCCCTCCCGGTATCCTGGCCGAAGATTCACTGGAAATGCCGGTGCCTGGGTTTAGCATCCCTGCTGTCCACCTTGAGGGTCTGCAGGAAGCAGGTGAACCGTTCAGCACCCTGGCCCCAACACCGCTTCCCTCCGCTCGGCCCAGGGGCCCGTTCTCCAGGTCCAGCAGGAGGGGGTGGGCCGTGGAGACAAGCAGAGCACGGGTTCCGTGCTGGGGGACATCCAAGGGAAGGGACATCAAAGGAGTTCGGAGAGGAGACAGAGCGAAGGTAGGGAGGAGTTAGGAAGGTGCAGGGTCGTGGAGACCAAGGGAGCAGTGTTCGGGGACTGTCCCCCACGTCAGGCGCTGTCGAGAAGTCCAGTAAGAGGAGCACTGGGAAATGGCCCGTGGCTGCACTGGTGAGGAGGCCCCGCAGACGAAGGGGAGAGCAGCTTCGAAGGCCAGTGGCTGCGCAGGGAGTAAAGGCAGTGCAGAGAGGCAGGCATGGTGCCCAGTACGTGCTCCGGGGAAGCAGGGACAAGGAGGAGGAGGAAGGGGATAGAGCAGCAGCTTGCTCAGGGCCGAAGTGGGCTCACACAGGACTGTGCGACCCGGCGGAGAAACTCGGGCTGGAAATGTCCGTTTGTGAGTTGTGAGCCCAGCTGCCGGTTCAGGTCTGCAGCCAGTAGAGTACAAAGCACAGGTGGTCAGCGCAGCACCAGGGTTTAAGGACTGGGCGAAGGACGAGGAGCCAGAGATGGAGATGGAAAAAGAGCTGTCAGAAGGACAGCTGCATCCAGAATCAGGAGTCCTGCTGCGGCTGGGGACCCAGGACTGCCAGAATTCTGCCCCAGCCCGTATATGGTGTAGACAACACGGTGTAGACAGCTCTGGTAAGCTCCTGTGCCATCTGCATGGAAGGGAGAATGAGGAGGCCTTGCCTGGTCTAAGAGAGCTACAGCCCAGGGCCAACCTTTTTGTTTACTATTTTATTATGGACACTGTCAAACATATTCATAAATGTAGAAAATAATATGATGAACTCTCAGGCACCTGTCACCCACTTCCCTCAGTTAGCAGCACATGGCCAGTGTTCATCTGTTCTTCCTCTCATGCACCCCTCCCCACTGATTATTTGGAAATAAGTCTCAAATATCATATCATTCCAACCATAAATATTTCAGTAGCTTTCTCTAAAAGATAAGAACTTTTAAAAAATTATCACAATACCATTATCACACCTAAAAAAATTAATAATTCCTTAATATCACAAAAAATGTCCAGTCTTGGGGTGCCTGGCTGGCTCAGTTGGAAGAGCATGCAACTCGGGTTCATGAGTCCGAGCCCCACAATGGGTGTAGAGATTAATGTAAAAATAAATAAATAAATAAATAAATAAATAAATAAATAAATCAGCTTTAAAAACAATGTCCATTCTTCCACTGAGCTTTCAACCATCAGTGACTCCCAATGGGTGTTCTTAAAACTAACCCATCAGATTGGTTGCTTCTTCCTGGGGGTGATGAAGGGGAGATATAAGGAAAGAGCAGTATAAGTTTACACATCTGTTCGGATCCTGGCCCTGCCATTCCCCCAAGCCTCTGTGTTCTTAACCCACAAAATCGAATTTCATTCAGCACATCTTTATTGAGCACCTACTGTGTCAGCCAAACAGTCCCTGCCTTCAAAGAGAGACAGTGTGCCAGATGATTGACTCTTCGAGGGATGAGGGCAGAGCATGCTGGGGGTCTGTAACAGGAAGGGACAGTTCAGACAGCAGAGTGTCATGACAGGAGCCTCAAGGGAGCTGGAGGTTTTAGGGAGTTTGGAGGGACAGTCGTGTAGTCGCAGCGGTTGAGAGAGGAGGCAGACCCTGCAGACCTTCCAGGTGCCATGGAGCGTGGAGTGGGGGAGAAGAAACAGTCACCATTTGAGATGTGTCTGAGGGACACTGTCCTTAGGGGCAGCCGGGTTCATGGTTAGCCCAAGAAGTCGAAGGGCATAGTCAGAGGATACAGGGAATTTGGCCTGCGTTTCTGATTGAAGAGATTTGGCAAGCTGCAGAAAGCTGACGGGATGAGAATAGGGCCAGGACAGAGCCCTGGGTCCTTTGCACCAGCCAGCGGTTCCCGTGCACACCGCCATGAGGTTCCCACAGAGCGGTCAGGGGTGTACAAACTACGGAGAGGCTGTCCGCTTTCCCTGAGTCAGTCAGTCCTTTTTCATTCTTTGAGAGACTTAGCCACCAGAGCCTCCTGGTGCGAGTACTGGGGACAGGACAGAGTCTGAGCCTGGGTGCAGTCTTCGCCCAGGAAAGCCCAGAAGGCGTCATCTTCCCTGTAATTTCCACATTCACAGAAAGGTGAGCCTCTTGTCCTCAGGCCCCCTGGCTCCTCTGATTTAGGAGGCAGGATTTCATCAGCCTGGAGACCGCATTGCATCAGGCCAGAGGATGACTAAGCCACCCCACGCGGTTCTCCTTCCCCCAGGCCTGGGCCAGCTCTCACTGACTCACATGGCCTACCCTCAGGGTGCCTAGGACCTAGGTGCCCTGGACGCGCTGCCGGACAAGGAGGTGACGTCTGGGGGAACAGGGGGTCGGAAGGCCTCCATCTTTGAACACTTGGAAGAAGAGGAGAGGCAGAGTTCTCGTAGGGCGGAGAAAGGGGTTCTGGGAAGGGAGGAGGATGAGCAGATTTCCCACAATCACAGAGCACTGGGCGAGCAGTGGGCAGAAGAGAGCACTGAGCTCCACTCATCCCTTCCCTGTGCCTTTCCTTTCAGTCCTGGACACACAATATCCAGCGGGAGAAAGAGTTTCTGCGGAAGCTGGTGAAAGCACGAGTCATCACTGACCTAACCAGCGGCATCTGAGGTGGGCCCAGCACGCGGCCACGGAGGTCCTGGCACCGCCAAGAGGAAGCAGTAAGCACCGCCACCTGCCCACTCCATTGGCCTCAGTCTGGCTCCCCCTGAAAGGTGCAGGAGTCTTCAGACCCAGAGAAGGACAGTGCCAAGTGGCCGCAGGGGTGGGCGAGGCCTTGGCAGGGCAGCCAGAGCTTTGTCTGCCCAGAGGCCAGCCTCAGAGACCAGCACTTAGCCTCGTTCTCAGCCTGGGGCCTTGAAGCCAGAGGGCCGGGAGGCCGCCGGCCGTGCCCAGCAGGCCCAGCATGCAGGAGGTGGACATCAGGCTGCAAGGCTGCTGCTGGAATCATTTCTCCAATCAGTGTTTGGTGTATTATCATTTTGTGAATTTGGGTAGGGGGGAGGGGAGGGATAATTTATTTTTAAATAAGGTTGGAGATGTCAAGTTTGGTCCACTTGCCATGCAGAAAGAGGCCCACTAGGGGGCCCGTCGGGCTCCCTGTAGAGTGGGGGTGCCGTGACTAGCCTGTGCCCTGCTTGGGGCTAGAGGGAGGTGGGCAGGATCTCATGCCAACCCCCTCCAGCCCATGACACTGTTTGGCCTTTCTTGAGGAGAAGATGGGGTATTCCCATGCACCAGCCCCTAACTACGCCACAGGGAAACCCTGGAGCCATCGTTGAAGCCGACAAGGCAGACCCTGGGTTAAGCAGAGAGAAGTTCAGAGCTCGGGAGGCGAGGCCTGGCCTAGCGTGATGGGAATGCCCGCCGCCCCCCGCCCCCCCCTCCACGCCGCTGCAGCTGATCCACAGGACAGTGCCCCAGCCTGGACTGACCAACTTGGCAGCTGTTCTGGATTTCGGCAACGACACTGTCAGGTCCTTGGGCTCTGCCTTCAGCCTGGACCAGAGGGAAGTGAGGCTCAAGGACCTTACCCAGGCTGTGGCAGCCACCCTGGGCAGCCATCCTGGAAGCAATAAAGCTCTTCCCTGAGTCTGGTCTCCTCTTGCTTTCTCTGACTCTCCTGGAAGAAGCAGGACACTGGGGCCTCAGCAACTCCATTAAACCCAAGGGCCATCTCTCTAGCCCACAGATTCCTCGGTCCCTTTCTCTTCTCCTGTCAACTGCAGGACCTGGGGAGCCACCCGGGGGCCTTCGGAAGCCTCTCCCATCCCACACAGTCCTGCACCCTCTTGGCCTTAAGAGAGGCAGACCAGAGGTACGAGGGCATGCCCCAGAGTCTACCCTACCCTAAAGGAGCCAGAGGGCAGGGGGTAGAGATCCACGGCCCTAGGACAGCACCTCCAGGTCCCCAGAGCCCCAGTTCTGCGGGGACAGAGATTCCTGCAAGCACAAGAAAGCTATGTGCTGAGCCCCCTGACACAGACTCACAGACCACATTTGCTCCTGACACCCCGGGCTGAGCTCCGGAGCGAATATGCCCCACCCGCACCCAGAGCACAAAGGCACACCCTCTCCCCACAGCGCCCCCTCTAGCCACACAGAACAGAAAGGCAGAGCCCAGCTCTAGGCACCCTCAGGTAAACCTGGGAAGGAACACCCCCACCCCCACCCCGAGAGCCCTAGAATCTGATCGCTGCCCTCACAGCGACCCCAGGCAGGCCTGAGATCCGGACAAACACACCTGCATCAGAGGCATGGAGTGAGCTTCCGGTCAGAGCTGCCACTGTGGCAGTAAGAGAGGCTGGCTGGCCCCCTGGCCTCTCGCTTGCCATCCCAAGGGCCACCAGCATCCCACATGCCCCCTGACTGCTGTGGTTTGTCCTCAGGCAGAAACCGCCTCCTCTGAGGGGCAAGTCGGGCTCTGACGGAGGGACAGGCACACCCAGAACTCCCTTGGGATGCTGCTGGAAACGGCACAACTCCAGTGCACATTGTAGTCTACGGGAAGGGTGCCCCCTGGACTTGTACGGGGCCTAGGCTGCAGGCCTACAAGAGGCAGCCATGGTTGACCAAGTCCCAGGTTGCAGGAAGCAGCAAAGAGAGGAGCTATTCACTGCTCGGTCCCCTGTCCCACAGGGGTTCTGTCAGGCCTGTGGACAGCCACCTCCCCCCACCCAGCAGTTCTCCGTGGTCTGGCTTCCACTGCACGGAACCTGCTGTCACAAAGCTGTGGTTCTCGGCCCTGGCCATACACCAGACTAACCTGTGCAAGCTGGGAGATCTGCACATGCCCACCCCAAGATTCTGGTTCAGGTTTGGGGTGGGGCCCAGATGTGGGTGGTTTTTAAAGGTCCACAGGAGATCCTGATGCATAGACAAGGTATAGCTGGTCCACACACACCCCTTGAGCACTTTCATCCCCACCCACGGCTCCCCACTGGCAGCTGGTTGACAATTCCCAAATTGCCCTCTTCGGCCCAGCTCTCTCCACTTTGCTCCAGGCTACACAGTCAGCCACTTCCTGAACATTACCACTAGGGTAATCCACCACACATCTGACACTGAACTCCTGAGCTCCTGTCTCCAGCCTGTCCTCCTCGAGGGAGCCCCAGCTGCCGGCACGCAGCCCCTCCACATGGTCACCCCGGCCAGAGGCGCGCCTTTGTCTGTCCTACCTCTTCATCCCATCCAATCAGGCACCAACTGAGTTTTCAAGAAGATGTGGTCTGAAAAGCCTTGCAGCCCTCTGCTCACCCCACGTCTCTGCTTCAGACCCCTCTCTCCCCAGCAGCCTCCTTACGTCTCCCCCAGACCAGCCAGTCACTGCAATGCATGTCTGGTCGCACCATTCTGCTGCCTGAAACCCTTCAGTGGTCCCCAGGGCCACTGCTATGAAGTCCAGACTCCCCAGTATGACACAAAGGATCTGGCCTTCCCTTACCTCTATCCATGTTACTCAACCTCCAGCTCACCTGCCAAATTGCTGTAATTAGGCCCCTGAAATACTACCCTCCAGCCGTGCATGTGCATCTCCTCTGTGACCCTCCCTTCCTCGGCCCGGGCACCCGCTCCTACCAGCACTGCCCCGGCAGGGCCCGGGGAGCACCGTGTTTGCTGGCGGGCGGCAGGGCGGCTGGGCGGCTGGAGCGGGGTCGGACCTCCAGCGCCCCAGCGCAGCACCTCACCGACCCGACAAGTTCCGTGGGTCTGCTGAGAGAAGAAGCTAGAGGGGGGCCAGAGAGCGGAGAGCAGCCGCGGCGGCTCGGCCAGCCGGGACCCAGGAGACCGCACCCATCTCAGGGCCCACGGCGGAGGCAGGGACCGGCCTGTCCCCTCCCTCCCCACCCTCCGCCCAGCCTCCCAACTCCCTACTTCGCGCATCTACAAACTCTGAACGCCCAGTTCCCGCGCCTCTCCGCCTCCCGGGTTCTCCGCTCTGCGTCCCAGGGTCCCTTCCCAGCGTCTCCTCCCCACCCCCCGCCCCCGCCCGGCTTGGGGGACCCAGCGTAGCCCCGGGGGGGGGCCAGATCCCAGCAGGTGGAGCGGCCAGGTGAGCCCTGAAAGGTGGGGTTGGGCGGGGGCGCTCCGGGCCCCACCCCGGGATCCGGTGACGCCGGGGCTGGAATTTGACACCAGATGGCGGCGGGCATGAGGCTGCTGAGGGATGGAGTTGGGCCCGGCCCCCAGACACGGCCCACGGGCTCCGCCAGCAGCAGGTCCCTCGGGCCCCAGCCCTCACTGCGTCCCGGACCCAGAGCCCTGCACCGCGGTAAGCCAACCTGTTGGCCCAGCCCTGGGGCTCGGGGGAGCAGGCGGGATAGTTCCCCTCCACTCCTTTCCCACGTCCTCCCTCTCCTGGGCCGGAGGCACAGCTCCCCGCCCCTCCCAGCCCCCTCAGTCCCCCTGTCGCTGGTTGGACTGCGCTAGCCCGCTCTAATGTGAGGTCCCCGCTGCAGCTACAGGGCACACACTGGCTGCCAAGGCCATGCTTTTGGCTAAAAAAGGTGCTGCCAGGTGCACAGTCCTGGGCATGAGCCTTTTAAGCTGCGGGGGAAAGCCCAGCACTGGTCCCAGGAAAGGTGCCTAGAAGAACCACGGAGGAGGACCCCTGTGGTGAGTATCCGGCTGGCAGGCGGGGAAGCAAGGACTGGTGGACCAAGTGGCCCCCAGCCTGCCAGGAAGGAGACTGGGCCTGACCTGCCCTCAAGAGACCTGCTCCTGAGCTCCCTCTAGCGCAGGGGGTCACTGAGGCTGCCTGGCCCGGCTTTCCCTCCGTCAATGAGAACAGTCACTAGCCTGGCCCCTCAAGGCCTGATTCAGTTAGCAGAGCATGCCTGGCCCTGGAGGAGCACACCGGGGAGGCCTGGGGAGGTCTGGTCCACAGGTATGCAGACGTTTTGTGTGCTATGGGGTGGGGGTGAATGGTTGACAGCTGGGACCCAAGGGCAGACCAGCTAGTGAGGGCTCTAGGGCCCCAGAGGGGTGTTTGGGAATGCCAGCCAGGGTGGGTTCACCAAAGGGTTGGTGGGGCTCAGAAAGGATGGCTGGGCTCAGGAAGGATGGCTCGTGGGGGAAACTTAGAGGAGCAGGGCCAGGCTGCCAGACCCACAGGAAGCTGGAAGGGCAACAGACCTGGACCAGCTCTCAAAGACCAGGCTGAAGTGGAGGCCAGGAGGGCCCTCCTGGGAGTTGCTCAGCCCTGAGTCTATTTGAGGGCAGCCAAAAGCCCACCCCCCCCTTGAGTCTGCAGGCTTGGCAATGCTGCCCCCTGGTGGCCACAGGGAGCCGTGCCCAGGCCCTATGTTAGAGGGCCCATCAGCCCCCATCACCGGGGGCTCTTGAGGGACCATCTGTGGTTGAGAAGAGAGAACTCTGGCAGCTCTGGGTCCAGACAGAGAGATCACAGAGGAGCAAGGTGCAGCAGCGCTGGGCGGGCAACACAGGCTGAGGCCGGGGTGTCGCTGACATCAGATAGGTCAACAGCAAGCACCCTAAATCTTCTCTAGGCCACATCTTCCTGCTCGTGACATAGAGACAAAGCTCTCTGTGGGACCCAGTGCGTCCAACTACTTCCTTCTCCAGCTGCTCCTGGCAGCTCCAGCCCTGCAGGACAGAGCAGCAAGGCCCCGGGGAAAGAGACCTGGGATGGTAGGCAGCTACCGAGCTTCTCTGAGTCTTACTTGCCATCTACCTCTTGGAGTTGTGAGGACTGAAAGAGGGAAACAGGTGCAAAGCACCAACACACAGTTAGGTTCTCAATGCAGTTACTTCTCGACCTGGGTTGAGTCCAGCTGTCCAAGCCCCTTGTACTTCATCTGGAGACACTGAAGTGGAGGGATGACCTGCTCAAAGGATAACTCCTCTCTCAATGCTCCAAGCTGCCTCAAGAGGAGGGGGGGCGGGAGCAAGTCGACTACGGCTGATGGGCGCTCCTGGTATTGACAGAGATGGAGCCCGGATGTGGAAGCCCTTCTGTGCTGCCCCACTGTCCCCAGCCTAGGCGGCAGGTGAGTGGTTCTCCCCGGGGACTGCCACCTGGAACTGAGGAAAGGTGGTTTGATTGGGGAGGAAGCGCAGGGCTTGGCCGGGGCTGGCGACAGAAGCGGAAGGGGAAATGGTCAAGGAGGAACCAGGAGTAAGGAGGAAAGTCAGTGATCTCTCCCCTGGGCTCCCTGAGGCAGCGGACCCACCATCCTCCAACCTAAACCCTCCGGGAGCTCCCCCCACCCACCTAAGCGCCCATACTCTCTCTGATCCCCGCCGCCCCAGCCCCTTCCTGAGCTCCCTCCACCCCGAGCCGACCTGGGTGTCCTATTCCTCCCTGAGGCTCCACTTCTGTCTCCGCGCAGCCTGCCCTGTGGCCAACCCTGGCCGCTCTGGCCCTGCTGAGCAGCGTCGCCGAGGCCTCCCTGGGCCCCGCGCACCGCAGTCCCGCTCGGCGCCTCGGCCCCGCTCCTGGCCCGGCGCCCCCCACCGGCCACCTGCCCGGTAGGTGAGAGGGCGAGGGGGCGGGGCGGGGCTGGCCCGGGATCCTGAGCGTGACTCAGTCTCCTTGCAGGGGGCCGCGCGGCCCGCACGTGCGGCGGAAGA